GAGCTCATGCCAAATCTATAAAGGAGCGTTCATCCCACTGTGCTTTCTGCGTGTTCTGTCCATAAACCCACTTGTTTATCCCATGACAACAATCATGTTCCATGGACTGCCGAAATTTTTTGCCCCAATAATGCCAACCGGCGACTGTTCCCACCCCTCCGAACCAAAACCCTATTTCTTCCACACCCGGCATCAGTGTGGTTCATCTTGGTCGTTCAGTCTGTGGCTTGAGCTAATATTCCGATGGTTCCAGATAATCCCATTGCTGCAAAGCAACCATTTTTATCTCAACATCGATAGTTCAACTGATGGTTTAACACTGATATCAAAGCTAATTCATGTCATCAGCGTCCGGTTCTGAGTGTCTCTTCTTGCCACAAACTGTAAACGTGTAACAGCTCATGGAGTTGCTCCTACTACCTGCTACTTGGTGGACATCGTCCGCGTAGAATCTCATTACCTTAAAACCTTTGAACGTTCCTAAACAGCGTACAAATTGCGATGGATATACGAAGGTAAAACATATCACATTGTTTTGCTCTACAAAATATGTAGAACTGAACCAAGCAGCACATTTATGGGACGGAAATTCCTACCATTAACCGCGATTAACTGACAGCGTTTGTGTTCATGGAGGGTCGTGGCTGAATAATATGCGGACAAATACTACTTCTTGAAGCTTGTTTAATTAAAACAAGAGGTTTTCGCGGCCGTTAAAATTGATAGCAGTTACCTAAATGCGTCGGTGGAATGAACGAAACTTAACTTGTCTGCAGCTCGTCACGGTTTGGCACACTGAGACTAGTCGCTCTGCAAAACTCATAAACTTTGGTAAAACTTTGAAACCTGAAAGTAGCGATTAAAATGGATACGGTTATGCGAACATAAATAAAGACGATGTATATTCCAAAGCGGTGGGTGGCATATCGTCATGCGTGATCATAACCTGTCAGTCAGAATGACGGTGCGACTGACGTCAGTTGCGAGGGCTTAGCGATATGTGGAAGCTGGGGGGCAATTAGAAGGATGGGCTTCGACAGGTTGGGGGGCAATTAGAAGGATGGGCACGGTTCGACAGGTGAGTTCTTGCTTGAACTGACACAATCTAAAAGTATTGGACAATTAGGGTGGAGAAACACAGTTAACCGGTTTTTCACAGCTTGCTGGGAGCAGATCATTCTAAAGCAGTTTCAGGTTGTTACATTTCAAAAATGATATCTATCAATACAACCGGCAAGGCAATAGAATGGGTCCTGCCCGACAAGTCATAAGAAATTGCGAAAAATAAGAGACTAGAAAAACACATTTGCAGAACTTACAGTGTATACGTGATTTGTACAGCCGATTTGAACTAAAACTGAGAACCGTTACTGAGAATGTCTAGCCTTGGTCAGTTGAGCTCATTGCAAGTTCATGGAAAGCGTAGATGTGGATGATGAGGTGGAGAAATTTGTTCTATGGATTTGTGGCAGCTGAATGTCCGAATCATGCAGTAGAGCGAAACTGAGTAGACCCACCAAAGTCGCTGATGAAACGGAATTAGGTGTAAAATGTGTCTAGTACTTCAGTTTTGGTCTATATTTTCATGTTTTTATAAACGTCTTTCTACCTAAGGTCTATACTTATTCAAAAATTATGGCATTATATCTGAAAAAGGTGTGAGATTTTAACCTTGCAGGCTCAGTTGTCAAAGCTGAGTGAAGAAGCACACGGATATTCTGGCAGATTATTTTGGCAAATAGTGCAAGGTGACACCATGTTATCAGGCTCGTGAAATCGTCGTTGCCAACACACTCATCAGACACCGAAAGCTCTACTGTCAACCGCAACTATTTTCTCCAGAATCTCGACCGTAACCCCTCGCCCACCCAAGCCTGTAGCCACAACTTCGAGCGGTTCCCATCCGGCCACGTCTCTGGGATGAGCTCTTCCGTACCCAATAAATTTTCGCTCAGATTTAGCTAGCCTGGCTTTCCAGCTGCAATTTCGACTTGCCTGTTGCACAAGTTCAAATCCGTATACGGAGTTCAGGTCGCCCTATATATTAGCAACTTGTCCCCATCCAACCTATTCCCCTGCACCTGACATCCCTACAACAGTGCAACCAGTGAGTCTGCTTGCTTTGAGATTAAACCACATTTTTGAGACAAAACTTGTCATGTGCTTCCAATTTGAATTATTCCACCTCCATCTCCACATTTGCTCGTTGTGACTCCGGCCGTTGACCTAACCACCCAAGGTCACTCATGGCCAGCAATAGTTTTCAGTTTTAGTTCATGCCACCTGACTATCTTTTATCTAGTCGAACCTCATGCCCATTTTTCCCAAAAAGTTTGGAAATAACCCATTGTTGCCATATCATCGGGTGTTCCCCACTGTTTGTGACATTGTCCTCTTTTTGTGCAATCCGCACCCCCACAAATNTCGTTGTGACTCCGGCCATTGACCTAACCACCCAAGGTCACTCATGGCCAGCAATAGTTTTCAGTTTTAGTTCATGCCACCTGACTATCTTTTATCTAGTCGAACCTCATGCCCATTTTTCCCAAAAAGTTTGGAAATAACCCATTGTTGCCATATCATCGGGTGTTCCCCACTGTTTGTGACATTGTCCTCTTTTTGTGCAATCCGCACCCCCACAAATCCCTCAGTCATGCTCAATTCTGACTGTAAAACTATGATCATGCCAGACGGAATGCCACCCACAAGTTGGGAATAAACATTACTATTATTATTATTACTTAATCTCATCTTTACCTTTGAAGGAACTTCGAAATCGCTTTGGTTCGAGGAATGTAGAAGGCTAAGTGCGCTGATGCAGCCCGTACCGCTACTTATCAACCAAAAAGTAACTAGTTGGTTGGCCAAACAAAACGATACATTAAGGGCTTGACGGAGATGTTTGCTTAGGTGGATCCGAACATTTGAGACAATCTCCTGTTGGGATAATTTTAGGTGCAGAGCTTCAAAATTTCACCGGCTGAACACCACTTTTACCGTTGACGGCGTAGTGCCAGGCCCCTTCATTGTAGGCAAGTGCCAGTATTTTCACCAAAATATTATGCGAAACAGACTGCTTCTATAATCAAGTAAAGGAGGTACACAAGATTCCGCAAGATAACATCGTAACCGCATTGATACTAAAGGTACCAATCCGATGGGAGAAAATTTCCTACCTTTGCTGAGTCACAAAAGACTGCTGGGTAGCGCAACAGCATCAGCGGGTCGAAGGTATCGGTAGGCATCAACCTGCGTAAAAGCGATTTTCCACGAGAAGAAATTTCGCCGCAAAGTACATAGTAGGGCGCTAGAACAAGGGCATCGGCGTCGTATATACGTCCACGTTAACCAACTGGCACCCACAAAGAGGAGTTCACCGAACCACCGATACCAAACCAGCTTCAGATTTTGCATCAGGGAGAAGTTTTGAAGGATGTCATCAAAACTGCTTTCAGGAGGGAGGATGTAAGTGAGCAGTGGAATATAAGCGTAGGACATCGCATATCGCTCAACGTGACTGAGTTAATGGTACTAGATTTCTGACCTACGTGCTCAGCTAACTACGGTTTTCTTTTGATGAGTTGAATATAAATACAGACGACAACTGCAATCAAACACGACTTAATTTGCCGATATTTTTGGATCGTTTTTGATTCATGATACTGGGGTTTATCTAACCGGATAATGGTGGTTTAACCACTGGAATATTCTATGCCCCACACTATTCTTATCTAACCAGCTTCAGCGAGCCCAGTTGCCGCGCCAATCTGACCGTTGACACCTGGGTTAGTGCTATCAAGACAGTTCGGGACCAAACATGTGTGCGTATCAGTTGTTCCAAACTCTGGAAACGTCAACCAAAGGCTGCCCAATTACAGTTCCCCTTAATTTATTCAGGGTGCAAGACTGAGCACTGACTCTTCCAATGAATACAAATGAATGCTCGAATGTGCAATTCAGCCATGAATTTTCAGATCATAAAGAAGACAAAAAAGATATCGAATCTAGGTCCCGCAGTGAGATACCAAGAACTCACCGATTATGTGGATTCACTAACCTCCATAACTGCTTACTTGATGGTACCGGCATGCCTCGCTTGAGTTGCGGTGGTGTTGGTCAAACTCTTGTCGCACAGAGTCATTATTTTGCTGGAGTCTTTGGGAGTTCGAGGAAGTAATGACAGACGCTTATATCCCGAGGCCAACCGCAGCGGTAAGGTTTTCTGTAGGGTAACCGCTTTGAAGATCTCACTGGTGCTAACAGTAATTGGCATTGGGCGGTAAGGCGTGCCTTTGGATGCTGCCAAGTGAAATTCGTGCACTTTAAATCCAAAGACTTTGCCTCCCTCACAATCAATCGGACCAAAGCCACTTGATAGTGGCACTTTTGCAGTCTTGTTGATGTCCACTTGATCAAAATTCATGTGTTCCATAAAAATAACGCTTTACAGTCCGATTTGGCTGGTAAATCCATAAAACTGGTGTGAGCGGATGAAGGCTGCACAAAGATAGTGCCCAGACAAGACCGGTTGGTTTCCTTCTTTTTTCATCGGACGTAATACCTTAGATCCGAGGGCCAATTAGGAGATAGCACATTGGTGCAAATTTCGTCCCGTAAGCAAAGCCAGTATATGCTGAACAGCCAAAAAGGTGTAAAGAATGGAGTGGTTTTGGTTACAGCATGAAGTGCATGCAGAAAAGTAACATTTTCACTGTGGCCCCGAATATCGTCTAGTTCATAGGGTTAA